AAAAGAAAAGCATCACCTTTTTTTTTCTTTTTCTTTTTATTGTTGTGCTTTAACTGCAAGTTTACAATTCAGGTCAGTCTCTCATACAAAAATTTATATACACATTGTTATGTGACCCTAATTGCTCTCCCTATACTGTGACAGCACACTCCTTCTTTCCACCCCGGACTTCCCGTGTCCATTCAACCAGCTCCTGATCCCCTCTGCCTTCTCATCCTGCCTCTGGACAGGAGCTGCCCATTTACTCTCATGTATCCACTTAAGCTAAGAAGCACACTCTTCACGAGTATCATTTTATGTACAGTCTAATCTTGTCTGAAGAGCTGGCCTCAAGAATGGTTTTGTTTTGGGTTAACAGAGAGTCTGAGGGCCGTGTCTTCCGGGGTCCCTCCAGTCTCAATCAAACCATTAAGTCTGGTCTTTTTACTAGAATTTGAGTTCTGCACCCCACTTTTCTCCTGCTCCATCAGGGTCTGTCTGTTGCGTTCCCTGTCAGGGCAGTCATTGGTGGTAGCTGGTCACCATCTTGTTCTTCTGGTCTCAGGCTGATGAAGTCTCTGGTTTATGTGGCCCTTTCTGTCTCTTGGGTTAATACTTTCCTTCTGTCTTTGGTGTTGGGACCAATTGATGCATCTTAGATGGCCGCTCACTAGCTTTTAAGACCCGAGACAACACTCACTAAAGTGGGAGAAAAGCATCACTTTTTATCTGGCCAAATGAAATATTCTGCTGTTATGAGAATGGTAAGTACATATATCATCTTTTCAAAAGAAAAAAAAAAGTATATATATATATATGCAGCCCTTAAAAATAATTAGGTATATGTGTTATTATGGAAGGATTTCCAAGAAGTACTAGTAAATGAAAAGAGCAAGGTGGGAAAACTGTGAATGGTTTGATAGCTTTCGTAAAAAAACAAACAAACAAACAAAAAAACAAATAAAAATGATAATTTTATGATTTTTCCCCCTAGGAAGGAAACCAACTGTTCAGAGGAAATGACCTGGAGGTAGGAAAGGGGGCTTTTACTTTGCATTTTTTACCTTTCTACACTGTCTAAATTTTCTAACCATGTTTGTGTATTACTTTTATCTGAAAGAAAAATGTCCATCTAGTTGATGGAACTGTAGCCAGTCTGATTTTTCATTTATTATTTGCTGCATTAAAAAGACTATCTTAAACTCCTAGGGGTCATGTCAATGTTTTATTCCTTTTGCTGCCCAAGATGTTGCCTTTGTATGTTGCGATGCACAATAAAGTTTTGTTGCATTGAAAAAAAAAAAGGCTAATAAATGTTATTAAAAATATTTAAAAAGTAAGTATAAACAAGCCCAACAGCTGAGTCTACTCTCTGAAGCAATTCTGAACAAGGTCCAGGAGTTTATACCAGCTGAATAGTATGAAGATAGCTCATCTGCAATTTGTGGCCAGAATAATGCAATTTACATCTACAGAATTTTCCTGAATTAACAAATCCACTATGTACTAGAAATAATTTCCCATAAGATAGAGATTTAGAAAGCACCCAGGAGTCAGTGTGATCCATCCTCTGTAACCCCCCTGTGTCAATTATCAATTCACCACTTCTTTGCTCCAAATCCACCTTTCTTTGCTATGCTTTGTGATCGTGGAGCTGGACCTTATAAACATTTCTTCTTTTCCAGCTGGTACAACTTTAAGTTTGGTTAGTAAAGGGTGCTGAAGGGACACTGCAGGAGGAAGTGGCTTCTCTTTCTGGTTCTGGTGTGCTTTTTCTTTCTTGCTCCTGTGGCATATGCCTGCTAGTGGTGTGAGTGTGGAACACTCAGAGGTGCAAATTTCAGTGTTATCCCAGGTGGTGGCTTCCTATCAAGTTTCACTGGCATCCTAGAGAGGGTCACTGGAACCCTTCTGGGTAGATACCCAGAAAATCCTGTCAGAACCCCAGTGGGCAGTTTCCTGCTTGCCAGGCCCAGTCTGCGGCACCTCAGCAAACTTCTAGGTCATCCAGTGGCCACAGCAACATCCTCTCCAATGAGGTCTGAATCTCAACCTTGGTGAGAAGGGACCGTCTTCCAGGTTTGCTTCTTTCTTGGGTACTCTAAGCCCTAGAGGTAGTAGTTGCTTCCTAATCTGCTATTCCTGCATTCCCTAGAGTTTTCCTTACCTCTTAGTAGTTCATTCCCTGTTAAAAAAAAACAAACTAACAACAGTTGTTGTAGAGTTGATTCCGACTCATGGTGACCCCATGTGTGTCAGAGTAGAACTGTGCTCCACAGGGTTTTCAATTTTTCAGAAGTAGACTGCCAGGCTTTTCTTCTGAGGCACCTTTGAGTGGACTTGAATCTCTAACCTTTTCAATAGCAGCTGAGCACATTAACCGTTTCACCACCCTGGGACTAATCCTCTTTACTACTTAATAATTCCTTATATTAAAATTTCCCCATTCTTATTACTGGTATGGTATCTGGCTCCTCACTAGACCTTGACAGATTTATAACCAAACCAACAACAAAGAATAAAATCCATAAATCCATAAATTGTATTATTAACTTTGATAACAAAGAGAAACAGTATGGCATTTAACCAAACTTGTTAACTTACAGAGTTAAAAAAAAAAAATCTCACAAAACTGAAAACACTGTGCAGTGCTTTTCTAATGTATAAATTAAGCTAAGCTAGAAGCACATTTTTTTTAGAATTCCCTTCCCTGTGTGATTCCTGGTTAGAGCTGGCCACAAGAGAAATTAGCCTGAGATTTGAAAGGAAAAATGAAGCAGCAGCAGTACACTTTGAAGGTCAGTATAGGGAGTTAGATGCTGCACTAGCTCATGAACGTTACTGCTGATCTGCTGGCTCATCTTGTTGATGTGGGACAGGAGTTGGGCTCCCAATTCCTCCAGTTCCTGCTGGATCTCTTCCTACCATTTCTCCTAGTTAGGGCCAGGCACACGTGTAGCTCCATGGCCAAAAGTGCTTCTGCTATTGCAGGTCACCTGCACTGTCGAAGCTGGAGGCAGTAAGAGATAGACAAGGATTCCAGTTTGTCCTTGTTCCTTCCTGCTTCATATCCAGCTCTTCTTCCTGACCATCAGCACTGATGACCTACAGCAACTTCAGGCCCACAAGTAGACTCCAAATCAACAGCCTTCCAAAAACTTCTTCTCAGCTTCCACAACTGTGTAAGGTCTGGTCCCTATAATAATTCCCTTATTGTATTTGATGGTTCTGCTATGATCAAACTCTCACTGACACATAATATAGAATAAACCAGCTTATAAAAAAGCCAATCATAAGTGACTTGGGGTACTTGAGCAATTGAGTTTCTACTGTCAGTTCTTACTTTCTCTGTCTTTCTTCTCATTTATTTCTATGTGACTTCTAAGTTTAAAAAGTATTTTAGATGTTTAAAGTGGGAAAAATTCCAAACGTCATTTTCTTTAACAAATGCCCATGTGAAGGACCTAGTTTTCTGGCTACTCTGAGATATGGAGACAAATTTCCTAGGTGGCTTAGGACTCAGGAGAGTCTGATCTATTATTGCAACAGTGTTCTCCATGCTGGAAGGGGAATGAGATAAAGAACCAAGGAGTTCAGAGAAGAAGGCTAGTATGTATGGGATGAAGGAAAACTGGAGTGGGCCTGGAGCTGGGTTTAAGTTGGAGGAGGAAGAACAAAAGGTGATACCCAAGATCCAGTTAGTCGTCCCTAGTGTCTTTACCCAAAACTCATTTGTTCGTCATTTTTGAGATCTGCCCTCGTTTTCTGAGCATGCTCAGTATGATTCACCAGTTCTGAACCTCATAAATTCCACTTTCTGTTTTAGAAGAGCATGAGATGTGAATTAGGAAGAGACAGGGATGAGCAGTGACGTAGCAGCAGAGAAAGAGCTCCTGATTATGGAGAACCGTTGGGTTATACCTTTAACTCAGGGACTGTGGACAGATTATTTGAAGTAAATTAAAAAACAAAAAACACTGGTTTTATACATAAGTATTTATTGGGTGCCGACTAGCTGCAGAAAGGTAGTTAAGCCTTACCAGTTAGGAATGGTTGATGAAACAAAAAGGCTGGGCAGAACAAAAAGAGTAAGAGAATATTGTCAGCATCTAAGGGCAAGATTACTTTATAGCTACGCTGGTACCAAGTTCCCTACTAAAACCAATCTGGGAATAATTAATAAGCTGTCCTGACTCAGAACTCACAAAGTACGTAGTAGCTTAAGCCAGGAGTCTTTCGATTACCACTTCCTTGAAGTCCCAGGCCCCCTAAATCTGACTGTGCGTGTTGCTGAACAGTGAGTGAGCCTGGCTGCCACAGGTTTCTTGTTTCCTATTGCACATTTCAAAACGACATAGCAAATGTGTTGTTCAGAGTGTGGTTATCTAATTCCTTACATGTCTCTCACAGGAAAAGCAAGAATCAGGAGAATTTGCTAGATTCCTCTGTCAAAACAACTAACTATTTATGAAAAGGCATGGATAGGATAACTGTAATCAAAACAGAATTTAAAAAATCATTTTGTGCATTCCAGGAAATTCTCAGAAGGTTTGTAGAAATTGCCAATGAAATTAAACTCTTAAAAATACAGTATATCTAATTTCTGTGCCCATTGAGTCAATTCATTCATTTAACAAACATTTACTGAACGGCACTGGGATATACCAGTGAATAAGACAGACAAGCTCTCAGTCCATAGAATTTACTTTCTGATGGGGGTGGTGGTGGGGAACAGTCAAATATATAAATAAATCAACATGTAATATAATTTCAGGTGCTATAAAGTGTTATAAAGGAAAATAAAGTAGGGAATAAATGGGTGAGGGTGTTATTTTAGGAGATGATTTAGGGTTCTATATTACATTTCCTACACACAGCATGCAGCAAATGGTATAAAAATATAACCACAAATTTGTCTTAAGTGTGTTAAGGGGACAGAATTCATGTATTTCCATGATAAATCAAACTGAATACATTTATATAAATTATAATGAGCTTATACATAAACCAACTAAACTTACCCTATAGAAAGCACTGGTCAAAGGGAGTAATGCTGCAGCAATGTTATATTCTTCTAAACTGGAACAATCCTTAAACAAAACAAAGAAAAATAAGCATTATTAGGACCTTTACCAGAAATCACATATATATGGAAACCAAAATCTGCAATTCATTATTTACTGTCCCATGGGATTTTTACTTTCATTTCAAATTGTCACTAAGGTGTAGTTCAGTAAGTCTGAAAAAAAGAATGCTATCCTTGAAGCACATTCTTTGAGAAAGGAAGTGAAAACACATTTGGGAAATGTATTTTTATCATATACTATTGGCAAGTAGCTATCTTTACTTCCCTGCTCTATAAAGATGGAGTTAAAAAGCTGTGTAATTCATACAAATCTTCTTTTTTTTTTTTTTTTGAGAGGAGGTTTTAGTATATTTAACAATTGTACTTCCTTGAGTATAAGATAACACATTTCAATATCTCTGAAATTGGGATGCACCATGTAATTGATGGCATCTTAAAAATATGACTGGCAGGATTTTTTCTTCCTTAAACTCGTTGCCATCGAGTTGATTCCAACTCATAGCAACCCTATAGGGCAGAGTAGAACTGCCCCATAGAGTTTCCAAGGACCGTCTGGCAGGTTTGAACTGCCAACCTTTTGGTTAGCAGCCTAGCTCTTAACCATTATACCACCAGGGTTTCCTTTCCTTCCTTAGTGGTACATAAAAGGGCATCTTGTTATTGATGGTGTTTTAGATTTAGGCAAGAAATATCACTGATGCTAAAACCACTGGGTAAAATGTTGGGAAACAGGTTAAGTCAGAAAATCTCTAAGTATCACTCACAGACTACAATTAATCACAAAGGGAAAAAGTATCTTTATAAAGAGATCTGGTGGTCACCACCTTAACCAAGTGGTTAACATAGTATCACCAATAGTGAGACAACCTGACATTATATGCTTTTGATGTGATGCAAAAAGAAAAACATATCACTGCCTCTGTAATATTCTTGCCCAAAACATCTAACTTTAGTCTTATCCTGAGAAAACAATGTGGGATATTCTACAAAAAATTGGCCTAAAAGTTTGTGTCATGAAAAACAAAAAAACCAAACCAAACAAACAAACAAAAGATGGTGAAGAAACAGCTCTAGATTAAGAGAACAAAAACAGCACCCAAATGCAATGTGTAAACGTTGACTGGACCTTGGCCCCAAAACAAACAAACGCACAATATCTCTTCTGGATATTTGGATATAGTTCTATTAATAGCCTTTCCTGTCTGGTTGTTCTATTAACCAGTCCTTCCTCTTTGGCAATGGGGCACAACATGAGCCATAAGGAGGCCAGGATCTGCAACAGTCCCCAAGGGAAGCAAAAGCTGCAACAGACCTCCCTCCCTAGAAGGCTAGGTGTAGTAGTTATAGTCCCAGAGCTGGGACCCCTCCCTCTCTGCAAGATTAGTCAATGTAGGTAACGCCATCAAAATACAAATTCCTTAGTCATCAGTTATTCATACATTTTTTTGAATGGATTTTAAATTCACATAGCTGGGATCTTAGCTATCAATCATTCTAGTGTAAGTTTCCCATTTTCCAGATGAGAGAAAAGAACCCTAGAAGTCAGCCATAGAGCTAGGACTGGAATCTAGATTTATCTACCTATCAGTGTGGTGCTTTTCCCTCTAGACACTGCCTTTTGTACTTGCTTGTTTTTCTCCTATTCTTGAGGAAGGAAATGAGTTTTCTGCAGTTTGAGCACTAATACTGAAGTCTTGGTGGGGGGGTGGGGGGGTGGTAGGAGAAATAGGCCTGAATAGGAGAGGAGTAGGAAGCGAGGCTTAGAGCTGTAATGAGCTGCCAGGGACAGAGGCTCTAGAAAATAGAAGGAAGAGTCAGAAGACAAAGGTAAAGAGACAATACACAATCTTGGCCTATTTCAAAATACTACCGAGGCTTGCTATCACTCATCTATAAGTATGTTGTGGAATGCACAACGTATGAATCTAAGAAAATTGGAAGTCACCAAAAATAAAATGGAATGCATAAAGATCGATATTCTAGGCATTAGTGAGCTGAAATGGACTGGTATTGGCCTTTTTGTATCGGACAATCATGCAGTCTACTATGCCAAGAATGAAAAATTGAAGAGGAATGGTATTACATTCATCGTCCAAAAGAACATTTCAAGACCTATCGTGATGTACGACGCTGTCAGTGATAGGATAATATCCATACGTCTACAAGGAAGACCAGTTAACATGACTATTCAAATTTATGCACCAACCACTAATGCCAAAGATGAAGAGACAGACAACAACTGAGCCTTGGGAAGGATAGGTAAGTGCTGCCCTGAGGAAAAAAGAAGGAAACTCACAAGAGGTGGCCATCTACTCTAAAGCTAGAATTGTCGAGCATAAGTACATTTGGTACTATGATGTGCAGAAAGAATACTCAACTGAAATTTATATACTCTCAGGAGGTGGGGCCAAGATGGCAGGGTAGTCAGACCCTTCCGGTGGACCCTCTTACAACAAAGACCAGAAAAAACAACTGAATTGATTATATATGGCAATCTGGGCGCCCTGAACATCAAAGGCAGAGTTGGGGAAGCGGAATGAGTGGCGGGGGAGGGAGAGATGGTTCAGAAGCAGTCAGGATCACTGATCAGCTCGGGGGTGAGCAGTGACCCAGGTAAGCAGTGGTGCTCTGGAGGCATGTTTTCTGCACTGGGAGAGACCCAGCGCCAGAGAGTCTACTTGGCCACCCAGAACCAGTGAGAAGCAGCCCTAGATCGGTGAAAGATAAGTAACTCCATACAGCCTACTGTGCAGATCAAAAACACCCCCCTTAGGGAAAAACCTCTCTCCCATTTACCTTCCTGCTCCCTGCTCTGGACTGGGTCCCGGACTGGCTTCAGCAATTGCCAAGTCTCTTGGGCCGGAAGTAGGATCCGTCGCATGCCCTGAGCCATTCTCCCGGCCTTGGAGAGTGAACAAATTAACGAACAGGAAAAAATAAACTGCCGGCTCCCCTAAGCCAGGAACCCAGGGTAGGCACAGCTCCTTTGTCTAGGCATAGGCATAAGGGATCCACAGACTCTGAGTGCCTTTCCCCCTGCAGAGACTTGTGTGGGCCCATCTAAACAGCATAGACCCTCATTACCAAAGTACAACAGGGTATATAACGGAACCCTAACTTCAACTGTTTCAGCTGTGAAGTGGCAGGTTCTTGACATGTGACACTGCTCTGCCCATTAAGCAGGGTCTTCACCTACCCACATCAGGGGCCTGAGGACTGGTGGCTCCACCCACGCCACCTAGCCACCTGTGATAGGGGCCCAAGAATAAGAGGTGCTCCCCAGTTCTTACGGCCAACAGCATTAGGTGCTCATAGTCTGGCTGCAAAACCCACCCACCTATGAGCTCTAGGGAACAGGGACACACTTTCCTCCTGGACACTCAGGGGTGGCCATCATCAGCCCCCTGCCTTGCTCAAAGTGTGTCCCCCTGCTGTAGCCAGATGCCTGTGCCTACACCAATTACCCATGCCTGTCTAGGACTGTGAGAGCCCACACAACACACTTGTTGGCCATGAACCTAGGCACCTGAGCTGAATCCATATAGGAGGAGTGGGTGGACTCCTGAGCTCACATACCTAGTAACAGATCTAACCACTTGGTGACAGAACATTAGAGCTTCAAAGGTGCCAATAATCAAACTAGCTCATATGAGCAGCCTATTTGGGCATATCAAAAAAAACCAAGAAGCTAGGACACAGTAAGCAAACATAAATAAATATAATGACTTATTGATGGCTCGGAGACAACAGTCAATATCAAATCACATAAACAGGCAAGCTATGATGGCTTCAGCAAGTGCTGAAAATAAAGAATCTAGAAATTTTCCAAAGGAGGAAAATTTCTTGGAATTACTGGAGACAAAATACAAAAGATTAATACACAGAACTCTTCAAGAAATTAGGAAGGAAATTAAGCAAAATGCAGAACACACAAAAGAGGAAATTAAAAAGATTAGAGAAGAGAATAATGACAAATTTAACAGGCTGCAAGAACCCATACAGAGACAGCAATCAGAAATCCAGAAGATTAACAATAAAATATCAGAATTAGACAACTCAATAGAAAGTCACGGGAGCAGAATTGAGGCAACAGAAGTCAGAAATAGTGACACTGAAGATAAAGCACTTGACAATTACTTGAGGAAAAATCAGATAAAAAGATTAAAAAACAATGAAGAAATCCTAAGAATTATGTGGGACTCTATTAAGAGGAATAACCTATGAGTGAGTGGAGTACCAGAATGGGGGGGATAACAGAAAATACAGAGAGAATTGTTGAAGATTTGTTGGCAGAAAACTTCCCTGGTATCATGAAAGATGACAAGATATCTATCCAAGATGCTCATTGAACTCCACCTAAGGTAGATCCCCCAAAAAAGTCACCAAGACATATTATAATCAAACCTGCCAAAACCAAAAAGAATTTTAAGAGTGGCTAGGGATAAATGAAAAGTCATCTACAAAGGAGAGTCAATCAAGAATAAGCTCGCACCCAGACACCCTTTTAGCTCAGTGGTGAAGTCAATTCCGAAGTTCACCGATCAGCCGGGGATTGGAAAACCCCATAAAACAAAGCGGGACTGATGAGGTACAGCAGTCCAGGGACAGGGGCTGGAAGGCAGAAGGGGACACGAAAGCTGGTGATAGGCAACCCAAGGTTGAGTAAGGACAGTGATGATGTGTAGTGAGGTTGTTGACCATTGTTATACGGCAACATGTGTACTGTTTGATGAGAAACTATTTTGTTCTGTAAACCTTCATCTAAAGTGAGAACAGCAGTACAACTGGAAGAGCTTAGTCGATGCCACTGAACTGTGCATGTAGCAATTTTTGAAATGGTGTATCTTTGGCTATGTGTATTTTCACCAAAAAAAAAATGTCGAGAAGGGAGTGGGTTGACATGTTGTGGGGTTGTTAACCAATGTCATAAAACAATATGCGTACTACTGTTTAATGGGAAACTATTTGTTCTGTAAACCTTCCCCTG